CCCCCAAAATCCTTGTGGACCAAGCTGATTGAGTTTTGTATCAGAATCGAGTTTTTCCATTAGATGGCAATAGGAACTCTTTTTCACTTTGTTAGATCTCAAGCGAGACACCTAAAATCCAGGAATTTCCTGTCAGGTTAGTATTTCACCCCTTCTATATATTTTTGTGACATCTTAGGCAATTCCCACTTCGACAAAATACGGGAGAGATATGCTAGTTATATAAATAAATAAGCCTTGAACCCTAGTGATGCATTTTAAAACCGTGCAAACCTAGGTCTAAAGTGGATAACACCACTAGTGGATGCAAGCCTAGGTCTAAAGTGGATAACACCACTAATTGGCTAGGCTGTTATAGTTTTTCAGTTTATATAAGTATATACTCCACTTGATTTCTAGGAAAGAAAATTGTTTACCTCGAAAATTGTATTGGGAAAAATTGAGTTTATATATATTGAATTAATTGAAAGATGACATGTCATGACAAGAAGGCTGGTCAAAGAATGATGATTAGCAAAGAGACACGAGTTGCAACAGATACGAACAGAGGTACGAGCAGAGACACTAGCAGATAATCAAAAGACTCGGTGCTCGTACCTATTTAATTCCAAAAATTAAGGAGAATGAATCTGACTGTACAAGAGAGTATGGATACAATATTTAATAAGCATTAAATACTGAAAACGTTAGAAAATCTGTATTGAATTATAATGATTGTCATTGTAACGTAGCATTAAATGCCTTTAATTGTCTATAATAGCCTTATTATGAAAAAGGCAAAATGTATATCTTAGAAATAGCTATAAAAAGGAGAAGACTGATCATTTGTAAGGACACAAAATATCATTGGAATATATTGATTTACTTTGTTTTCTTCTGTTCTTCTTATTATTATCAAAGCCAATTTCTTTCATTCATTTTATATATTGATTATCAGTAACCCGTGTTCTTCTAAAATAAAGCTTTGACCGAAATTACTATTTTTTGGTTAAACAAATTGGTTCCGACCGAACCTCCCTACGTCAAGAGCTTTTGGCTCTTCACAAGAGAGCACCAGGTCGTAACACCGGAAGACTGCGCCGTTATTAGTTATTATAAAAATGATATAATTTCTTTGTATGCTTAGTCACCAGTGGCACAACCTACGGGCTAAGTAGCGCCTTAATGGGAGTATTTTTTTCCTCCGCGATAGTGTAATACCAGACCAGTAAGAGAGAANAGTCTTTTCGTAAAGCGTGGATAGGGGGCGGGGGGGGGAGGGGGAGAGGTTTAGTATAATAGCATGTTTGGCCAAGCTTTTTTGAGCCAAAAGTATTTTTTTTTTTCAAAAATTGAGGTGTTTGGCCAAGCTTTTGAAAGGAAAAAAAGTGTTTTTGAAGAGAAGCAGAAAAAGTAGCTTCTCTCCAAAAGCACTTTTGAGAAAAATATATAGCCAAGGCATCTACTACAGCATTAACTTCTCGGTAAACATGTCTAAGCTCTACACAACCCAATTTCAACATCAGTGACCCATAGTAAAATATAATAGGTAAGTGAAGTTTATTGCCATGTTCGAACATGGTGCATAGTAACTACGACAACAACAACGACCCAGTATAGTCCCCCAAGTGGGGTCTAGGGATGGTAGTGTGTACACAGATCTTACCTCTATCCCGATGGGGTAGAGAGACTGTTTCCGATAGACCCTCAGCTCTAGAAGGCGAAAAGATGAAAAGAGACATTATATCAGTACCATTAATAAAACCATGGAAATAATAACAACATTACAAGAACCAATGAACAAATGGAAAGCAGAAATAATAACCATAAAATAAGGCCCGACACTATGAAAGCGGAAGAGTAGTGCAAACACAACACTGACTACTAGCATTCTAAAACTAAATCCTATCAGCCTAGCCTCGCACTGGTAGACTAAATGAACTCAACTACCTCCTAACCTACGACCTTAATGCTCAACCTCCACAACTTCCTATCGAGTGTCATGTCCTCGGAGATCTGAAGTCTCGCCATATCCCGCCTGATCACCTCACCCTAATACTTCTTAGGCCGCCCTCTACCTCTCCTCGTACCCACCAATACCAACAGCTTGCACCTCCTTACCGGGCATCCAAGCTCCTCCTCTGTACGTGCCCGAACCATCTGAGCCTCGTTTCTCGCTTCTTGTCATCCATAGCCACGCCTACCTTCTCCCGAATATCTTCATTCCTAATCTTATCCATCCTAGTGTGCTAGCACATCCACCTCAACATCCTCATTTCTGCTACTCTCATCTTCTGGGTATGTGAGTTCTTAACTGGCCAACACTCAACCCCATACAACATAACCGGCCTAACCACCGCTCTATAAAACTTACCTTTGAGCAGCGGAGGCACTTTCTTGTCACACAGGACTCCAGATGTTAACCTCCATTTCATCCATCCCACCCCTATACGGTGTGTGACATCCTCGTCTATCTCCCCATCCCCCTGGATAATCGACCCAAGGTACTTGAAACTGCCTCTCTTAGCAATGACCTGCGATCCAAGCCTCACGTCCATGCACGCTTCCCTCGGCTCGGCACTGAACTTAGACTCAAGGGCCTGTCTCTAAACCTCCAGCCTCTCGTCAATCAGAACAATGCCATCAGCGAATAACATACACCATGGCACTTCTCCTCGAACATGGTGTGTCAGTGCGTCCCTCACCAGAGCAAACAAGAATGGGCTGAGCAGATCCTTGGTGTAATCCCATAACAACCGGAAAATGCTCAGAGTCGCCTCCCACTGTCCTAACCCGAGTCTTAGCTGCTTCATACATGACTCTATCAGAATTTCAATGTATTTTTTGACATTAATCAAAACATTAAATGTTCAAATATATAGCACATAGAAAACAAGAAAAGAAAAAAAATTAAGGGATTAGAAGAAAATGAAGAAAAATAAGAAAAGAAATTAGGAGTTGTTTGGTTTATTTAATGATTACACTGGAATTTAATATAAAAATTATAGTGAAAGAAAACAAAAAGAAAGAAATTAAGGGATTAGAAGAAAAAGAAGAAAAATAAAGGAAAGCAATTAGGAGTTGTATGGTTTATGTAATCTTACACCGGAATTTAGTATAAAAAAATTACAGTAAAAGGATTGCTCATACATTGAATGATGTTTTATTCGAAAAATAATAATATGGGGATTGTTATAGTAATTAGATTAATTATCTTACATTTTTTATATCTAAATACTTTTATTTGTGTATTGCTAATAAATATATTATTATTTATATAATTTGACGCATAACATAATACACATACTCTCACATAACTTATGGGACATTAACAAAATAAAGCTTAAAGAGACAACCAATCAAATATTGTAGTAGTAGCATTAGCTTATCCAAATTTTTATGTTGGGATTATTTGTTGGTCATTTGGTAGGGTGCATAAGAATAATGCTGAATATGGTTTATTAGTAGTGCTGGTATTAATAATGCTGGTATTAGTTAATAGTTATGCTGGCATATTTCTTATATATTGTTTGGTTTGATGTATTAAAACATTGCACAATTTCTAAAAGAATTGTTTGTTCACAAAATGCCAAAACCAATCCATCACTCTATCTTTTTAAAAGAAATATATGTTGAGGGATTTTTTATATGAAAAAAGTTTTTAAAAAATTATTTGATTTGTCTACCTATATTATAGTATAGAACTGAATATTTATTTATAAAAAAGAAAATATGATAAGTATTTATTTATTTACTAGCTATAAAATTTTATTTTTCACTATTTGGATTATTTTAAACTTCATTAATATAATAGCATATTTTAATTAAGCATAAATTTTGAAGGATAATTTTGTCTTTAACTAAGCTAATGCATGCATTAAAACTCATTGCATTGTTAATATCATGGTTTTCTATGCATTAGTTATGCATATATATATTTTTATAAATAAATATTTAGTTCTATATTATAATATTGGTAGGCAAATCAAATAATTTTGTTTTAAACTTTTCATATAAAAATATTTCTCAACATATGTTTCTTTTAAAAAGTTAGAGTGATGGACTGGTTTTGAGGACATTTTTGTAAACAGGCAATTCTTTTAGAAATCGTGCAATGATTTGATACATCAAACCAAACAATGGATAAGAAATATGTCAGAATAACTAATACCAGCATAACTAATGCAAGCATAACTAATACTGATACACCCTATTCAGCATTATTCTTGTGCACCCTACCAAACGACCCCAAAGTGCATAACTAATGCTACGTTCAAAATGTGTACCAAATAAGGTATTTAATACATGTAATGCATCCTACCAAATGAGCCCACGTGTGATACTTCCCTCTAAATATCAATAAGACCAAAATGCCCTTATGTTTCTCCACGGTGGACTGCTGGAGAAAAACGTTATCCATAGGGATTAATATTCAGCCACAACCAATGAAGGAGACAACACAAACCACCCGAATGACAAAAAGAAACAGAAACAAGAACTTCCTCATGCACAGAATCTTCTCTCTTATCTCACCATTTCTGACCTCTAGCTATGGAAACCATTCTCTCCCCTCCTTCTCTTTGTCCTCTCTTCAACCCCAAAACAGCTTCCCTTTCAAAGCCTTTTCTTCCTCTTTCTCACTTACCTAGATCAAGTTCAATCAGTTCAGCTAAGCCAATATGCTGCAGCCTTAAAAAACAGGCTTCCAAGATTGACAAAGACTCATCTTTTTCAATACCCAAAAGTTGGTTTTCCCATGTCCAGCAAGGATTAGCTGCTGTAGCTATTTCTTTAGCCCTCAATTTTTGTCCAGTTGTGTCATCTGGTTCTGCATTGGCTTCTGAATTTGATGTATTAAATGAAGGTCCTCCAAAGGATTCCTATGTGGTTGATGATGCTGGTGTACTTAGTAGGGTGACAAAGTCTGATTTGAAGGCATTGTTGTCTGATGTGGAGAAGAGAAAAGGCTTCCACATTAATTTCATCACTGTCCGCAAACTCACTGTAATTTTCCTTCTCTTCTTTATCTTTGTCATTAGAAGCCACAGCACGAATGATCAATTGTTAATAGACCATGATAAGATGAAAAAAATTCAATCTTTATGGTGTTTTTCTGCTTGATTTGCTGTTAAACTTAAGTTTTTTCATAAATCCTTTGTCAAACTTAAGTGCTGGTAACCCTAAACCTGTAAATTACAATTCCCCC